ATTGAATGCTCTTAATAATACAAATGAATATATGCAGTCTAAAAAGAATAATGAGATAAAGCAAAAAACATAATAGTAAGGGGAGGAAACATTAATGTACTAGAGAATAGTTATGCATTTCATAAGTGCGATACCATGCCCTAGATTTATCATCCCTTCCATGTGAGCCTTCGGTGAGGGACTGTCCAATTATCTTACAGGTGGGTTTTGGGTCTCCATCTATGGGCAAAATCTTAAATAATGCAAGAAGCATCAAACGAAGATGGAAGAATTTGGGTTGAGGGATGCTGACAACATGGGTACAATAGAGTGACGACTTTAAAATTCAAGGACATGGTAAAACATCTGAAGTTCATTGCCAGAACAGAGATGGTACAGGAAGATGCTTACAGGACCCTAAACAGAATCCTTCACTTAGATGATGCTAGGAGAAGTCATGTAGCAGACAACAATGGGAAAGTGATGAAATCTGCCAGAGGATCTATAATGTGGAAATGACTCACAAATACAACTTTATATATATTAGGTAGAATATAAATAACAATAGAGGGAACACTTATGTGCCTACTTGTTTAATATGGAGAACATTTGCCAACACTGCTGAAGGCTTCTTCTGTGTTGTTGTTGTTGTTAGGTGCCATTGAGTTGCTCAACCCACCGCACCCTGTGCCCAACAGACCCAAACACTGCCCAGTCCTGCGCCATCCACACAAGTGTTCCTATGCCCGAGTCCATTGACGTAGCCACTGTGTCCGTCCATCTCATTGAGGGTCTTCCTCAGTTCCACTGCCCTTCCACATTACCAAATGTGATGCCCTTCTCCTGGCAATATGTCTAAAGTATGTAAGATGAAGTCTTGCCATCCTTACCTCTAAGCACTCTGGCCTTACTTCTTCCAAGACAGATCAGTTTGTCCTTTCAGCAGTCCATGGTAGTTTCAATATTCTTCAAAAGCACCACAATTCAAATGCGTCTATTCTTCTATGGTCTTCCTTATTCAGTGTCCAACTGTCACGTGCATATGATGCAGTGGAGAAGACCATGGCTTTGATCAGGTGCACCTGAGTCCTCAAGTAGCATAGGTGTTCTTCAATATTTTAAAGAGGTCTTATGTAGCAGATTTACCTAATGCAATACACCTTTTGATCTCTTGACTGCTGCTTCCATGAGCATTGGTTGTGAATCCAAGTAAGACAAAATCCTTGACAACTTCAAACTTTTCTCTATCATCATTGTACCTACTGGTACAGTTGTGATCATTTTGGTTTTCCTTACATTGAGCTGTAACCCAGAGTAAAAGCCACAATCCTTGATCTTCATCAGTAAGTGATCCAAGTCTTCTCACTTTCCTCAAACAAGATTGTGTCGTCTGAGTACCACAGGCACACAACAAGCCACCCCCCAATTCTGACACCTCCGTCTTCTTCATATAATCTAGCTTCTCCGATGACTTGTTCAGCATTCAGATGGAACAAGCATGGTGAGAAGAAACAAGCCTGATGCACACCTTCCTGATTTTAAACCATGCAGAATTCCCTCGTTCTGTTCGCACAACTGCCTCTTGATCCATGTACAAATTCTAAATGAGCACACTGAAGTATTCTGGAATCGCCATTCTTCTCAAGTTCATTGTGGCCCACTGGGAATAGTGAATGAAACACAAGGAAGCATCTTCCTGGTATTTTCTCCTTTGAGCCAGGATCCATCTGACATCAGCAATGATACCCCTTGTTCCAAGTCCTTTTCTGAATCTAGCCTGAATTTCTGGCATTTCCCTGTCAATGGACTCCTGCAATTGTTGCCGATGAAAACCAAGAGGGGAAAAAGAAGACACCCAACCGGACGGATCACCACAGGGGCTGCAACAATGGGCTCACAAATAACAATGGACAGGATGATGCAGGACCGAGTAGTGTTTCCTTCTAGTTTACATAGAGCTGTGATGAGTAGAAACCCGCTCCACAGCATCTATCAACAACAACAAAACAGCAACAACAAGCAAGGGTATCAGAGATTGGGAATTCAGGAAGGACATTTGTTCACTTGAACGTTTTATTCTCACTAAGGTCTCAATCTTTCATGTGATAAATATCGGCCTCTCTTGGAACCCAATGTACTGAAAGCCCCTTTAAAAAATATTTTTATGAAGCAGGGAAACACGTTTTCCTGGTGTGGCTTCTAGTGCTGCAGTCTGTGAAAGAGGTCACTTTTGAAAGTTTGCCGATCAGGCACATGGAGCCAGAAGAGCGTTTGAAATGAAACAGGATACAACTGGTCCTGAGAAAAGTTGTTTCCAGATAACACCCCACAGGGGGTCAGCCTTTCTCTGAGCAGAAAACTTAAGGAAGGATGCCTGTATTCATTCATTACTGTAGAAGGTTCCTCAAAGCACCAGTCTGCTTGATTGTTGCAGTTAACTCCCACTTCTTAATGTTGAAATACAGAATAATCATCCTTTCTCCTTACAACCCAAAGAAGGTTTTTCACCAAAGCGATTTCCTTCTCAACTCCTGGAGTGGCTGTGAGGTGATGTTTGGTGCTGTCTCACACATCTGTTACACCCTCACATGCTATCTTCTGCCTGGGCTGTGTTTGTCACCTGTTTTGTCACTCCCACTCATTTGTCAAGCTCCAGGCCACCTGTCTCTGGCAAAACTAGGTCACCTCTGACTACCCGGTTGCCTCCATTATACTTCCCCCACCACATCTTGCCTATGCCTTCTTTTTGCTACTTGTCTTACTCCAAAGCAGTTTGTAATTCATTTACATGCCTTGTTCACCCCATGTCACACCTTGAGAGTAGACGTAGCTGAGCTACGTGTCAGCATAAGCGTGGGCTTACTTACTAATCTGAAGTGGAAAACTGTACATTTTTTACCACATCAACGATGCTGCTTCTAGGTATAACTGGCGCCTGTCTCTCTCTGAGTCCCATAGTACCTTCCTACAGAACCCATGCCTCCCTTCAACTGGACAGTCCCTGCCGCAGACCGAGGACTCATGAATCAAGGGAAGCACAGGTTTACTTGCGCTTCCTTGTCATCTGTAATGAACAAGGTTTTTTTTCCTACATTAGATATGAAAATCATGTGTCAGTGTTCGCTCTCTTAATAAGCACAAGCAAACCTAGGTTTATCTTGCTTACCAGGCAGTCCACTCCTGGTTGTAAACAGAGGCGGTGGGGGGCTTCAAAACAACTATTAGGAAAATCCCATTATCTTTTCAATCTATCTTTCCACAGACTTTATTCTCTGTAGCCCCTTGGCTTTCATCTTTGCAGGTGGATATGCAATTAATGTGCAATTAATGCTTGTTATGTGATCAAATGAAGATGAACTGGAGTGGCTCATTGGATGAGGTATGCCACTATTCTGACCACTGGCAATGATGAAGCAATTTGCTTTAAATGATCCTGGCTTCCCTCAGCTCCAACCTACACCCATATGAGGAATCTTAATGAGTCCAGAGGTTCTGTAGAAAAATGTGGCCCATCAACAGCTAAGGCCCAAAAGTATAGGAAAATGAAAGTTCAACCTTTAAAAAAAATTTTTTTTCTGTGTTCACATTATCAAATGTAGGCTATTCAAATTTACACTCAAATTTACATATCTACCTCCTTCATACCATCCCTCAAATCTCTCTCACCCAGGGAACTGCTAGCTGAACCTTCAGTGGCATACAAAAATTCAACCCCCTGAGGAATTAGTACAAACCCACTGTCCTTTCTCTTGTGTAGAAGGGTCAGAAAGGGGGAAACAGAAGAGGATGAAGAAAGAAATGGACTGCAATTTTCTTTATATTTTAATTTATTCACATCTTAAAAAAACCAAAAACTCTTGCTTTTACTCAAAATGTAATATGTGAACCAGCAGTGTAAACACCCCCTGGGAGCTCGTCTGGATTGCAGGATATTGAGACTGAACCCAAACACCCCCAAACAAACTCACTGCCGTCAAGTTGATTCTGACTCACAGGGACCATCGGACACTGTCCCAGACAAAAACTCTTCATGGGAGTAGAAAGCCTTCTCTTGCTCCTGAGCGGTGGCTGGTGGTTTCAAGCTGCTGACCTTGAGGTTAGTCTCTTCATGCCTAACCACAACGCACAACAGGGCTCCACGCCTCCTAAATCTGCACTTTTCAATCACTTCCCACCGGAGAGGTGTTCACACTGAAGTCTGAGAAGCAATGAATGTTCTGACTGCCAGAGTGTTTCTTAGATAAGTCACTTGGCAAAATACTTCATAGCTGCCTAGATGTCTAGTCTAGAAGACAAAGTCTTCTCCGAGCTCTATTTTGATCAAGGAGTCAGGAAAGAAGTATTTTCAGTTTCTACAATAACATTCTTATGGCAGTTGGAGGCTCGATTTGACTAAACCATGGAAAGTTGTTGTTCTTTCGCCTTATATTTCTGAGAGCTGTCTCTTCTACCTCCTGGGAGACCGATCTAGGTTTTTTATATAGGCAAGTTTAGTGAACAAATCTGTTTTTCCATTTCTGCAGATGTAAATGAAACATTTTCCTTATCACACAGAAGCTATTATAATGTTCATATTCCAAATACCTAATTCTAATATAAGGAATCCTGGTGGTATCACATCTAAGTTCTCCGCTGCTAACCCAAAGGTTGGCAGTTTGAATCCACTAGCTGCTCTCTGTAGATGGAGATGGGTGGGGCACGAAAGAGGGGAGACCAGATAATCTGATCCCTTAAAGATTACAACCTAAACTAGAAATGAGGAAATTATCCGATTTCAGTAATTTTCACGAGCCTCAGAAATCCTATGGTCAATTCTCTCAGTCCTATCTGGTTGCTATGAACTGGAATCAACTCAATGATGAAACAAACAATATGACATTGAATGTATCCTTTAATTCCTATAAACACTTCAGTAAACTGAAACTATTTAACATGTCTCTTAGTATTGAACTTGGGATGCAGGGGTTGTAACTGGTTCCTTAAGTTCCAATGCTAATGCAAAATTGTAAATATTTTTTTAGGCTACAGCATTGTGTCAGTACTTGGAGGAGCACACAGAGGAACTGAATCTTCAAAATGCTAAAATACTTGAAATTGGTGCTGGACCAGGCCTGGTTTCCATTGTGGCTAGTATTTTAGGTCTGCTGTTTATTCCTGATGTTATTTCAAATGCCATTTACTGTGACAATGATGAGTATTTACGTTAGGGCATAGGTGCTCAGCCCTGATTCCTCATTGAATATGACTTTCTACTGCTATTCCCAGACATAATCAGGGTTGAGCATGTTCTTAGGAAAGGGTGAGTAAATTATTCAGCCTGTCCAACTATCAATTGATGGATATGAGACTCAGGAGGTATGAGTCCCAAATTCCTATTATAGGTGTTTGATGCCATCTCCTGCTTTTTATTGCATCACTATTAACATTTGTTGGGTTGAGAATGGGTTAATTATAGTGAAGACAGGTTAAAACAAAAATGCACACCAAGAGTTCCTGGGTACTGATCAAGAGGTGAGTAGTCTGGACTGGCTCCATTTACATGATTACTGTTCTTTTCTGTGGAAACATTATGGAAATATGGGGATAAATTCTGTGAACCCTTGTTTCATAAGAGTTCATTTAAAGCATTTATGTAGAGACAGACAAAATAAGTCATGTTTTATGGAGAGAAAATTAGGTACTGAATACTTTGTATAAGAGAAAAGCTGTATCTTCAGATAAATATAAGTCTATAGAAGAAAACGTTATAAATTATTATTAAAATACATAAATTTGACGAACCTTTATGTGTTAAGGTCATTATCTTAAAATCCATTATTTCACTCCTATTGGTCAATGCATGGTTTCTTAAAAGATGTGAATACTATTCCATTTCAGTGATGCCCAGTGGATTTTGTTCATCCAGGGACAAGGGACGATGTCTGGAGACATTTTTAAGGGGAGTGTGGATGAGCACTACTGATTGTGGTGAAGAGTTTGAGGTGCTGCTAAACATCTTACAGTGCCCTAAGCAGTGCAGCCCCGCCCGCAGTAATTACCCCGCGCCAACACTCAAATACACATCCTCCTCACATGCCAGTTGGGTCAAGGCTGAGAAGACTAGTTCTAGTTCCTGTGTTTCTTCCTGAGTATATGTAAACTATGTTGCTCAAATGACAACATAATCGTGACAAATCTGCCTTCTCTCCTAGGTGCTCAAGTCACAGCAACTGACTTGCCTGATGTCTTAGGGAACCTTCAACACAATCTTTTAAAAAACACCCTAAAATGTGCAGCACATCTGCCTGACGTGAAAGCATTGGTATGGGGAGAAGACCTGGAGAAGCACTTCCCCAAATCAACGTGTTATTATGATTATGTTGTCGCCTCTGATGTGGTCTACCACCATTACTTCCTGGACAAGTTGCTCACCACCATGGTGTACTTTAGTCAGCCAGGGACAGTGTTGCTTTGGGCAAACAAGTTCAGATTCAGCACCGATTATGAATTTCTGGATAAATTCAAGCAAGTGTTTGATACAACACTATTGGCTGAATGCTCAGAGTCATCTTGTAAAATTTTTAAAGGAATACTCAAATGGGACTAAATGAAGCAAAATGCCTTTCAAAAGCATTAGTGTGTATTATGAGTTGTGTTAGAAACTTCACTAGCAATACAAAAGTGTTAATGAATTTCTTTTATTAAAGTGAGAATAGTTCACTGAAACAACTTGTCTGGATAGACCAAACATTTTGGTCTATATTGTAATCAGCTAGGTAAAATAAATTACCTAACATAAAAATGTCAAAGTAGCTTTCCTGCCTTACAACAATCCTAGTTAAATGTTATATAAAATTTACATGAAAAAATAAACCGGGTTCTCATTATTTCTGCTGCATACCATTGTCAATATACTGAGCCTTTTGAAAACCTTTTTATCATGAATTGGGTTTAGGTTTAGGAAGAACTGTTAAAATTAGGAAGAATTTTTATCATGAATTGGGTTTAGGTTTAGGAAGAATTGTTAAAATTAGGAAGAATTTTTTTATCATGAATTGGGTTTAGGTTTAGGAAATTATTCAACAGTTTACATACATTTTGTTACAACTCGATTGCAATCTCATTGTACTATGACATATCCCATTTCCTTCCAGTGTTTCCTGTTTCCCATTCCCTATCTTCCCCAGTCCTCTACACTTGGTCGTTGGGTAAATGCTGCCCTTTTAATCAAAGGTGTGTGTGCCTCACTAGTATTATTGTTCTCCTTTGAACCTAGTATTTCACTTAAAATTGATCCATGCAGGTGAAGTCCAATTCCAGATGTCAGGGGAGATTAGGAACCATAGTATTTGGGGGTTTCACCAGTCCCTATCTGACCAGAAAGTCTGATTTCTTTTGTGATTTTGAATTTTGTTCCACATTTAACTCCTACCCTATTGAGGGCCTTCAAATGTGATCCCTTTCAGAGTTGTTAATATTAATAATCAAACGCCATCTCGTTCGTCTGGTCTCAAACTTGTGATAACTGACATTTGTGTGGTCCATTAGACTTAACTGTTCCATGTATCTTTCAATTTTCTTCACTATTTTTTCCTCCGGAGATAAAAATTGCACCTTATACGACGTTAGTAGCTATTCACCAAAGTAGAATGTAGAACATTTTCTACATGAACGATATTAAGCCAATTGGCTTTAGAATCCCTGAGACTAGTCCTGAGTCCCCAGGCTTAGTGACTCATTCTCTTGAAGCATTTGGTTATATCTAAGAACTTTTCATAATATTGTCCACTGTATGCTCTGCTATATTCATGGATATATGTGCAGCAAATAAAACTATGTACAAATAATATGTCAAACATATATAACCATGGTTATACTCCCACTCTCCAAAAACTGTAGAGTTTATGTCTATGGAAACATCTCTCATAGATCAGTTATTGAAGTATTGTACAAAGCTCTCAGTATATTCTAGCTCCATGATTTTTAAAGCAAATTCCTTCTCATTACGTTGCCTACCCATTCAACCAAGTCAACATCTGTCGCCTCTCTAGCCAAGGACTTTCCCTCCCTTGTCCACACACTCTGGTAACAATAAAAACAGTAAAATTTTGCCATTAAAAAAACTGTTTTATTAGTTCTTAAAGATATTTTTACAATCATTTCATTAGATCAAGTATAATTGTACAATTGCTGTCATAATCATTTTCAATACCTTTTCTTTCTTCTTGAACTCTTTGATATCTGCCCCCCTTTATCCCTTCCCTCCCTTACCCTAACACCAAATGGACACTTAATATGTTATATATTATTATTATTGCCATATCTTACACCATGCAATGTATCCATTCACCTACAATTCTGTTGTTTGTTCCCCTTGAGTATGGTTCTACATTCATCCTTGCTATCAGTTACCTCTTCCCCCAGGGCCCCCATCTTTTCCCCCGCCCTCAGGGAATTGTTACTCCCATTGTTTTTGAGGGGTTTATCTTGAATTTTGTGCATCGAAAGATCTTGATTGTACATGTGTACATATGCAGGTCTAGCACATTTCATGAGGCAAAACTAAGGCCTTAATAGCGGGGAGAGGAAGTATTTAAGAACGAGACTGGCTAATGATCAGGAACCCTTATATGCTTATTGGCCATTTGGGTTTCCTCCCTTTTAATTCTTCTGCTCAGGTTTTTTGTCCACTTCTTTAGCGGGCAATTCGTTTTATTATTGCAGGCTTGCAGTGTTTTGAAGATTTTAGTAATACGGTCTTTGTCTTATATGTCATTGCTAAATATTTTTCCCCAATCTGTGGGCACTCTTATTACTCTCTTGATGGTCTTTTGATGTACACAGGTGTTTTATCTTTAGCATGTCCCACTTGTCTATTTTAGCTTCCTCTCTGTCTGTGCATCCTTCCCTATTTCTGATAGCCTAAGGATTCCCTGTGACAAGGTTCTTAGGTTTGTCCCAATTCTCTCGTGGACAATCCTAATAGCTTGAGGTTTCACCTCAAGGTCTGTGTTCCGCCTTGAATTTGTTCTTGTGTATGGAGTGAGGTAAGGGTTGTTTCATTTTTCTGCAGGTAGATATCCAGTTTTTCCAGCACCATTTGTTAAAAAGGGCATCCATATCCTATTTGATGCTTTTTGGGCCCTTATCGAAAATCAGTTGTCTGTATGCTGCTGCCTTTTTTTCTGGCTTTTCTGCTCCTTTCCATTGGTCCGAGTATCTATCATTTTACCAGTACTATGCTGTTTTGACGACCGTGGCTGTATAACAGGTTTTAAAATCAGGTAATGCAAGCCCTCCTGCTTCATTCTTCTTCTTTTTTTGCTAATTCTGGGCTTCTTCCCTTTCTATATGAAATTGGTAGTCAGTTTTTCTCATTTCTCTGAAGAAAAAAAAGATGTTGGTATTTGTATCAGTATTGTATTGACTTATATAGATTCTTGGGTAAGAGTGACATCTTTACATTATTGATTCTTCCAATGCACGAGCATGGGATAATTCATTTATGAAGGTCGCTTTTGGTTTCTTTTACTAATGTTCTGTAGTTTTCCTAGTACAGATCTTTTGTTTTTTTTCTGTTAGGTAAATCCCTAGATATTTCAGTTTATCCTTGGCTATTGTGAAGGGTACCACCTTCTAAATCTTTTTCTGTAATCCCCTCCAATTGACTTCTGCTTGCTGATCTTATATCTTGACACCCTACCATGTGCCTCTATCATTTCTAGCAATCCTATTGTGCAGCCCGTGGGATTCTCTCTCTCTAAAAAAAATCATTGCATCTGCAAGTAGCGATAATTTCACTTATTCTCTGAGGTTAATACCTTTCATCTTTTGTTGCCTTATGTTATTAGTTAAGACCACCAGAACAATGTTGAATAAAACTGGGGACAAGGGGTATCCTTGTCTGGTACTCTTTTTCAGTGGGATTGTTTTCATCTTTTCTCCATTGAATATAATGCTGGCTGTTGGTTCTTCATATTCCACTTGAATTATGTTGAGGTAATTTCCTTCCAATCGTATCTTTTCGACTGTCTTAATTAGGAATGGGTGTTGAATGTTGTCAAATACTTTTTTGTGTGTTTATTATCACGTGGTTGTTGTCCTTTTCTTGTCGATGTTATGCTAGTGGACTTTCAGATTTTGAACCATTCCTGCATCCCTGGAATGAATCCCACTTGGTCATGATGAAATATTCATTTTATATACTTTTTTACACCATTAGCCAAAATTTTGTTTAGGATTTTTGCATCGATGTTCATTAGAGATACCAGTTCTTTATTCTTGTGCGATCCTTGCCTGCTTCTGGTATCGGTATTATACTAGCTTCATAGAATGAGTTTGGGAGTTTGTCATCCTTTTCTATGCTCTGAAGAGCTTGTTTAGAATTGGTGTCAGTTCTTCCCTGAATGTTTGGTGGAACTCTCCTGTGAAGCTCTCTGGACTGGGAGTTTTTTTAGCTGGTAGTTCCTTGATAACCGTATCTATTTCTTCTTTTGCTATGGGTCAGGTCAGGTTCTTGACATCTACATGGGATAATCTGGGGAGGGATTGTTTTTCCAAGTATTTGTCCATGGTTTCCTTGTTGTTGTATTCATTGTTGTAGACCTTCATAGTACTGTGTAACTAATCTTTTAATCTCATTAGGGTCTGTTGTAATTTCCTGTTTCATCCCTAATCCTGGCAATTGATGTGTGCTCCTTCTCTTTGGTTAAGTTTCCCTAACCAAAGCAACAGCCTGTCGATTCTGTTAATCCTTTCAAAGAACCAGCTCTTACTTCATTGATTTTTTGCATTGTTCTCGTTTCTCATTCATTTATCGCTGTCCTGATTTTTATTCTTTCTTTTGCTAAAACAGGGATTATTCTATTGACTCTGTTCTAATTGCTTCCTCCAACAATGCATTTTGTTTCCCTTGCTTTCTTTTGGAGATTGCTGCTTCAGGTTGTTGTCTGTGTTTCATTTGGGTGTAGCATAAGTCTCTCTCTTCCTTTATCATATGTGCATATATCACCAGCACACATCCTCTGATAACAACCCTGTTTCCCTGAAAAGTAAGACATCCCCTGAAAATAAGACCTA